AAAACTGTGATTGATTTTTACCTAATCTGACAAGACAAACAGCATGTTTTATAATTATTGCTTCCATGCTTTGTATACTCTATTCCTTAGAGTAAATCTTTTACTGCCCCTCACCCACTTACTTGCATGTATCACATTTTCAATAAAAAGGCACAATGATTCCTAGCAGTTGTCACTCCTCAGAGAGCGATCTCTGAGGGGTGTCCGGCAAAGGACGTGCATGTAAAGGCATCGAGGTCTCTGTCTTCTGTTCACCTTCGCCGCCTCCGTCGAGATAACCCACCCATGCCGAGGCTGGTCCCCGGCATTTAGAGAGGCAGAATATTGGGACCAGCAGGTGGTGTAGTGGTTAGGGTGCTGGACTCTCATATGACCAACTCTGGTTTGAGTCTTGGACTCAGCAGCTTGAAACTCATGCCAGGAGTGTCTTCATGCATGCCCAAAATCCTCAGAGGAGAATGGAGGAGAAAGGATTGTGGCATGGCCAATCCTTCTGGGAGGTGATCTCCCACTTTCCTTCTCACTGTCTCTGTTTCTCTCTCTCCAGTGGATACACATGCGCTAATGCAAAAGCCTCTAAAGAAATTAGGTACCGACATTTTACATATTTTTAATATCAACAACAACCAAGAATTGACACTCAGAAAAGAATAAATCTGTTTTGGAAGGACTCTGGCACACTGTAACACTGATCAGCTAGAATGACTCATTTTGCCAACCAAGCACTAGAACATAAAAAGAAGTAATTTGTATTTATGCCCTTGGTAATGTGTGGGAGAGGAGAGAAGTATGTGCGTGAGTAATCTCTTTCCTGAAAATTCTTTAACAAAAGAATATAAGATGTATCAATAGTAAAGAGAGTAACTGCACCTGTTACTTTAGACTATCTGTTCGATCCTGGGAAAAAGCATGATGCATTCTTGCATAGAAAAGCATAGAAAAGTTCATCATGACTTTTCCGATAACCCAATGGATTAAAATACTATTCCCCAAAACCAAAACAATACAAAAAAGTGAAAATATTCTCTTTTTCATATAGGTACTTGTACCCACAATATTACTATTTCATAACAGATTTTGTTTTCTACATAACTAGCTGTGAGAATTAAGGAGAATATTACAGATTGTCAGAAAAATTGAGCAAGAGTAGCAAGCAAGCATGATTAAATATGTAATATATAATGTGGAATATCATCTGTATTGAATTTTTGTGTTTAATATATGGATTTTAAAAATTTATCTCAACAAATTCTTTTATGAAGGATTTGAGATATGTAAGCAGATGTATATATTGACTTTATCACCTAAGTATATTGAGACATTTAATGCAATACAATCAAGATAGTATTTCTAAATATACTGGGGGGGGGTGTCCTGCAAAATAAATTTTGCATCAATATAAACACTAATTTCATTTTCCACAAACTTTTAAAAGTACCCTTATTTAAGCATTTTTAGAGAAAGTCTATCATTAAATTTTTGAAAAAAATTCTATTTTCAAAAATAAATTAATCCATTTCAAAGTCTCTTCCTCTGAAAGAGACACAAAGAAAAACTGCCATTGCCGTTGGTACTATTACCTCAAGGCTCCTGCCAAGAGCAATCATTGTGCCATCTGGTTTGAAAAACTAGGAGAGCCAAAGAGTAGCCATTCAAGCAATGGCTCTTATCCCCATCAGCAAACTCAGTGCAGATTACTGCGGTGCAGACTCAAAACCTCACTAAGCTGGGAATCAAGCCACACTCCACAGCTCAGCTGACTCCATGCTAATGTCTTTCTTAATGCAATAAATTACCCTCGTAGAAGATGAGTTCGTTCTGGGAACAATCACACAAAATCATGTGGCCGCTGCTATGGTGCTCCTAATTCAGGCGGTGTCAAACACCTCCATGACAACTGGGTGCAGGTCACTTCAGAATTTGCCCTAAAGTTGCTTCAATATTATATCCTTGCTTAATGGGAACCAGATCATTCAGTTCAAGATTTTGTAACAGACAAATGACTTTCACCTCTTGACCATGTATTCAAATTTACTTATAGTGGATAATAAAGAGAATGAGAATGATTATCTCAGAAATGTTCAGCAGTGTCAATGGCAAATAATGGCTGATGGAAGCCCAATTTAAGTAGACTAAATAATGAGGTGAAGAAAAAAATCCCACAAAATCTTTTCAGTTGGCCCCCTAATATCCCTTTGACTTGAAAAATGGTTGTTTCTTCCTTTAGTTTAACTTAATTTGGCTCAGGGAAAAAAATAACAAGAGAGCTGCTGCATACTTTTCACATCACACTATCAGTAAGATATTATATAACACAGTGGAAATAAAATTATAGCCTTTCAAAGGAACCAAAATATTGAAACTGTGAGGTTATATACCAAGGGTCAACCTAATTGAGTCTTTTCCTTAGGGTACACGTTGGATTTTTAGAAGTCATTCCAAAAATCTCTGTAATCACAGTGACTCGACAACCTACACATCAGGACAAAGACGAGAGTTACGACAGGAGTCAGAGATACTTACTTTAGGGATAATTACCAGGAAATGATACTGGTCTATGCCAAACAGTTATGAAAAAATAATAAACAGTCACAAAGCTAGAAGATTCTCATGTTTGCTAGGTAATGATAACATTTTGCCTTCACTGCCTAGGCAGCAGATTCAGAATCCTAGTTTCCAGGCAAACAGTAATGTTTCTGATACAATTATTTGCCTGGTTTTTACACACCTGAGGTCAAAATTCTTTGTAGCATCTGCAAAGAAAGCAATCCCAATGGTTGTAACAAGACAGTAATTAGATAAATAAAGAAACAGGAAAGAAAAATTAGATTTGGCATTAGCCTAATTACTCTGGCTGACACAGGCAGGTGTTTGGTGCCCCTCTCGGATATATATTTATGTTTAAATTTAACTGTAACAGCTGCATAAGAAGCACTTCATCCCTCCAAAAACTTATTAAATTTTACTTGATTAACTCCTTAAGAAGAGAGCAAGCCTTTTAATCATACTCTTCACAACTTTGGGCCACAACTTGAACGGAATGATCTGGTTCTCATCAAGCAATACATAATATGGAGGCAAACTCAGGGCAAATCTTAAAGTGACACGCTCCCAGCTGTCATGGAGGTGTTTGAAATAGCCTGAAATAGAAGCATAACGCTCTTGAAGTCCTCTTGTTGCTCCCACAAGCACAGTGGGGTAGTGTCAAAGTGGCCCTGATAGTTCATCTAGTCTAGAGCCGTCACTTCCATTTCCCATCCACCACCTCGCCCTCTAAAGGCAATCGCAGTAATGGTGGTGTCTCCAGCTCTTAGTCCTCCGGGCAACTTCTCTTTTTCTCAGCTAAAAAAATCAAATCCAACTTCTGAAAGCCCCGAGGACAGTGAAGTAAATGCTGACTACCCCATCTCCTTATTGCCTTAGTGGAAAACCTTGAAAACAGGGTCACAGAAGCATAAAGTGCTGCATCCAGTATTCTCTACAGCCATATGCTGGGAAAAAAGTTGGGGAGAACATTAGTGAAGGTAACAAACTTACTCAACATAGTATGTCCCATACTGAGGGTCCTCTATCTTCTCCCAGCCATAAGGAAGCTCTGTTAAAAAAAAAAAAAAAAGGTGAAATACCAGATTCAAAGCCAATAGAAAAAAATTAATTAATAAGTGAATTTGTTTTTATTTCACTGTACTAATACTTGGGAGTCAGAAAGCTGAGGCTCACGTTCAAAGAACAAATAGAGTTTGAGGGTCTTCTAAACTAAAAGGTGTTTTCTGAAGCATGAGCCATAAAATAACTGATTTTGAAAAAGCATTGCCTATTTCTTCCACTTTAAAAAGCTCAATAATGCTGACATGAGACACATTCTGCAGCACAATACAAGCACCAGCTGCTTGTTAAATTTTTTACTATTACATGTAAATTACTTGTTATTACATTCCGATCCACTTTTCCCCAAAGGGAAGTCCAGCCTTGGATTTTTGCCATTTCAAGTGGGCAATCTAAATGTGCTTAAAACCTACGGAAGTACCTGCATTTCCTTCCATTAACTTGATCTGAGTATCTGAAGGAACACTAATAACTTCCAGCCTGTCTTGTATAATCTGTATTTTGAATGGTAACAAAGAAATTTCTTACTTAGCATTGTTATATGTTATTTATTCTAAGTAGCCAACTAATAAAATATAAGCAGAAAACTGAACACATTTGAATTTCTGATAGTGAAAAATCTTATCTGGCCTTTCTAACATAAACTGACTATCAAAAAAGAATCCTCTTTTCCCTCCCACTTTGTCTGCATTCCTTGTAAAGTTCAAGTTTCTAAATCTTATTAGTCAGACATGGATTAAGTTGGCAGCAATGTTTCTAGCAGGTGGTTCAAGTGCTATCAATTAGGTATAGGAGACAAGTAAGAAGGAATTTTTACAAAATCCACAGTTGACACAATGATGTCCCATATTTCTTTCTTCAGTATCTTTAGAGTGTTTGCGCTATGATGAAAAACACACACACGAAGTATGCTAGACAGCAAAGAGGCTTAGAATATACCAAAAGACATTAATTTTATATAATTTAGCCTCAGAAATTAGTCTAATGTAAAATTTAATTATAATGACATATCATATTTATAAAAAATTCTATTATAATGAACTTGACAAACTATGCAAACTGTTTTGCTGCAACAAAAATCATTATTCCACATACAGAATAAAAGATCACTAGCCACTTGATGAAAACCTGAGTCATTCCCACCCCTTTTATCTAGCATATTGTTTTGCACATATTTGATTGGTGGTTTCAAAGTGTGGTGTTTTCTTGTGATTTTCTTTTGAAACCCCTGGCTGCAATGCACAAGGTGGAAAATAATATACTAGTTAAAATATTTAAATTGTTGAAATATGTTAAAACAGAAAAAACTAAGAACTGAAATACACTTAAGTTCACATTGATCTTCCCCAGTTATGAAGTAAATGGCCATCAGTTAAACAGGAACAATATTTTACCACCAAACAACCTTTACACAGATAAGAGTATTTTTTGATTATATCTCAAAAAATATGCTATGGTGATATTACTGAAGCATTATCTTCATGGACATTCCACAAAAAGGGTGTTGTTTTTTTTTTTTTAATTTTAACAGAAATTTCTTTGAAATAGCATGGAAATGAATGGTGATAAGGATAAATTCTATAGCTGTACCACAATTGGATTTATGCCTTGTCTTCAAAGAAGTTTGGAGAATTAAAAGAACTACAGCGATAACTAAAACAGTTCATATGATATCCAAAAAAATCACCAACATGGACATATTAATACTTAATAAGGATAAAAGATCAACATAAGTACGTTTCAGTGTTAACCTGGAAAAGGACTTAGCATTTCAACTTATTTTTTAAAATAACTGTTTAATTTTATTTATTATTATTTTAACTTGCTATAGGGCATGTGCATTCACCAGAGAAAGCCAGAGAAATAAAGAGAGAAAACAAGCCACCAGGTCTGGGACTTGAACCACAGTTGGCTATGTGGGAGTCTAGTGCCTCAACCACCATGCCACCAGCTGGCCCCAACTGACTATTATTATTTTTATTTTTAAGAGAGCTCTTTATGCTGTGAGGCACGTGTGCTTGTTGTGGAGACAGAGAAAGCGAGACAGGAAGCGAGAAATCACTCCCAGGGGGAATGGTCCTGCCACAATCCCTTCTCCTTCATTCTTCTCTTGGGACTTTGGGTACGCACAAACATATGCTGGCCTGATTAATGTAGTGGGAGAGAGAAAGCACGTGTGCACGTGTGTACACACAAGCACACAGGATGGATGTATTTTTGACAGTGTCTCACCATCTTGTGATCCTTCCTTCTGCCAGCCTCCCAGTTTTTTTAGCCAGGACCATAGGCACACAGCCTGTTTTCAGGGTTGGGCAGAGAACCAAACCCAGGTCTCCCACGAAATCCCAAACATCACAGGGTGGGGCCCTCCTCTTTTGCCACTGTGCTTCTGGGCCTGATTTAGCATTTTTGTTAGCATTTAAAGCAATTAGCAGCTAACAGATTAAGTACAGCCCTTTCTTTAGAAGAACAAACAAATGCAGCAATTTATCTTGAGTTAATTTTAGTACATTTAAGCCCTTAGCACTGACACCATTGGCCAATTGTTGCAAGGCAGATTAATTCAGACAGAGGTAGTTATTATTTATTTGTTCATTTAAAACGAAGGCAAGGGCCAGCAGGTGGCGTGACGATTAAGGTGTCTGGATCCCACATAGCTGACTGCAGTTTGAGTCCCAGATCCAGTGGCTTGAAAGAAAACACCACGGGCATCAGTGTGTGCATGAGCAAAAGGAGGAGAATAAGAAGAGACGGGATTGTGGCATAGCCATCCCCCCACTGGGGGCAATTTCTCTTTCCTTGTGTCTCTCTCTGGCAATACATACTCCCACAGCAAACCAAATAAATAAATAAACAGATAAATAAATAAAATGAAGGTGATTAAAACAAGACCAAAATATCTAGCAATTTAATACACTATTTAGTGAACTGATTAATTCACTTATTTTATTCCTTTCTTTATTTTTCCCCTTTCTTTAACTCCATCTCTTCCTCTCTTCTCCTTTTTCTTATGCACAAAGAGAAATTACAAACAAAACACAGTTCTTGATTCAAGGAATTAACAGTCTAGAGGGGAAGACAGAAGAGATAAGTGGTAAGATGAAGATAAACACAAACTTTTGCTGGAAGTGACACCAACTGCCTAGTAAGAGTAGGTATCAGGAAAAACCTTTTAAAAGTACATGACATTTGAGCAGTCTTAAAGTATGAGTCACAATTAGGGAGAAAGAGATAATTCTAAACAGATCAAAGGACATTGAGGTGTTAAGAATCCTGGCATTTTTTAGTAATTAAGAATAACTTTTTTTTAAGAGAGATTTTTGCTATAGGGTGCAGAGACAGAAAGACAGAAAGTGAGGAATCACCCCCTGGGGGGGATGGCAACACCGCAATCCCTTCACCTCCATTCTCCTCTCAGGATTTTGGGCATGCGCACACATGCACTGGCATGAATTTCAAGTTGCCAGGTTCGGGACTCAAACTGCAGTCAGTCGGGTGGAAGTCCAGTGATGTAAGCATAACACCATCTGCTGGTCCCATTTTAGGGGGCCAGCAGGTGGCATGGTGGTTAAGGCACTAGACTCCCACACGGTCGACTGCAGTTTGAGTTCTGAATCTGTTGGCTTGCTTTCTCAGTTTCTATCTCTCTTTCTGGTCAAATTTTAATAAATAAATAATTTAAAAGAATAATTTGATAGATTGGAGTTGTATATAAATAGATGTCTTACAAGCAAATATTAATCACAACATTCCTGGAATGCCATATTAAGGAATTTTATTTTTATTTTGATGATGACAAAACTGATTAAGGTGGACTATGACACGATTAAATTTATATTTGAGAAAGATGATGGGCAGCAGTAATAGAGGATGAGACAGAGGGAGTGGAGTGAGAATAAAGGCAGACAAATAAGGAAAATACTAGTAGCCTAGATAAGAAGTTAGGAGGGCTGGAAGTGAGGCAGTGGTAGTAGGAGCGGAAAGAAAGAATGAGCAATAGACAAGGAAGTCAGGACAACAGGCTGGCTGGAGAGGCTTGGGCGGGGACTGCAGTGTGGGCTCTGTCCAAAATGCTTCTCTCCCTCTCTCTGCCCCTCTATTTGGCTCTTTCCCATGAGGACTGAGAGAGAAAAACAAGGGAGAAGGCCAAGATGATTCTCTGGTTTCTGGTTTTCTTGGTAATGAAAATGATACATTATCACATACTTACTGAATAACTTGTGTCAAAAATGGCTGAGGGGATAGAAAAGAGGAATTAATTTGGATTCGGAAAAATTTAGGAAACAAAAAGTACCTTGTATAGTACCTAGCACCCACGAACAATCAAGAAACGGCAGGTTCGTTAAAGTTAGAATTTATAGAACTTGGTAGTTCACAGAAACGTGGAGGAAAGAGTCACAAAAAAGTTGAGGATGGAAACTAGATTTCTGCTCAAGCATCTGCAGGGTTGTCATGCCATCTGTTGAAGTCAGGAAGGGAGGGTATTATGCTTGAAGGACCTACAGAACATCCTGGTACAGTATCTAAGAAGCTCTGGTGAGACCAGCGTAATGGTTATGTCGCTGGACTCCCATGTAGTTGAGTGTGGCTGGAGTCCTGACCCAGTGCCCTAAACCATGCCAGTCATGTGTGTGTGTATTTGCATGCCCAAAATCTCGAGAAGAGAATGCAGGTGAAGGGATTGTGGCATGCCGTCTCCTCTGAGGGGTGATTTCTCGCTTTCTGTTTCTCTGTTTCTCCAGCGAGTGCACATGCCCTATAACAAAAATCTCTCTCTCTCTCTCTCTCTTTTTTTTTTTTTTAAAGTTCTTGGCAATAGGACCCTGGTATTCAAAACAGAAATAAAGCCAGATTAAAGGTCTGGGAAATAGTGTAAAGAATGCTGTGGAAGTGGACATGATTATTTAGACAAATCGTGAACAGAAAAAGACTGGAATACAATGGTAGGAGCCCAGACATCTTAAGGAGCAAAGGAGGAAGTAAGAATAG